TCAGCTGCCTCTTGCACACCTCCTACTGGAGATGTGCTTGCAACCAAAGTACATGCCCTTGACTGGAATCAAGCATGGGACCCTTGAGTTCGCAGACCCAAGCTCTATCCACTGAGCCAAACCGGTTTCGGTGAGCAAGCTTTTCTTAATATTCTCCTATTCCAGTTGAGGGAAATCTCATTCTAAGAGATAAATTGCTCATGGTCACTTGGCTAGGAAGTGGTTGAAGCAGGATTTGAACCAAAGACTGTTTGACTCCAAAATGAAGACTTTTATACTCTGAATCCAAATAAAGAACACTCTTAGGCTTCAGCAGGTCTAAAGTTTCCACTTTCATGACTCCTGGGCAAGAGTGTGAACTCTGCTGTTTTCTCTAACCAAGAGCCCACCAGAGGGCCACAGTGGCTTCCAGATATGTGGGCTGGTGTGGGGTCCTCTGATGTCTTTCTCAGGGGTCAGGAATCAGGCACTGGGGCTGCAGGAGGGGCTATATTGAAGATGGAGATCATTTCATCCTGGTTTTAAAGGGGGAGAACATAAGCAAAATAAAACAAAAATGGGGAAACACTATGTTACTTAGAAGTGGTGCCAGTAGGAGCCCCCTGCTATGGCAGTGGGTAGGCACGTGGGCCTTGAAGTCTGGCAGACCTTGGTTCAAGTGCCATGCTGACCTGCTTCTTTGGGTGACCGTTAGCAAGGCATTAAAATTCTCAAAGCTTCAGTTTCTTTCCTTGTAAGATGGAGTTGATAATAGTAATTTGTTGCAAGGATCAAATGACAGCATGAACATAAAACACTTAGCCTAATACCTGGACCCAAATTAATGTTTAAAAAAATGGTATTATTAGTAATAAAACTGGGTGAAGAGTAAACACCTGAAATGTTCTATAGTTCACCCTTGTAGAACACAGGACTTAGGGCACCAACCCACCATAAAATAAAAAATTAGGTCAGCTTATGTTTGTTTAAAAAAATGTTTGGGTAGGATGCATGGAACAGAATGACAGATCTCAGTGAGGAAAGTGGGGGAATGGGATCGGAAGTGTTTAACCAATGGACAGACAATGGTTTGGGGAAGGCCTGGGGTAGGGCACAGTGGGGGGGGGGGAAATGGAGGACATCTGTAACACTTTCAAAAATAAATGTTAGCCAAAACTGGTTTGGCTCAGTGGTAGAGTGTAAGTCTGTGAACTGAAAGGTCCTGGGTTCAATTCCGGTCAAGGGCATGTACCTTGGTTGTGAGCACATCCCCGGTAGGGGATGTGCAAGAGGCAACTGGTGGATGTTTCTCTCTCATCGACATTTCTAACTCTCTATCTCTCTCCCTTCCTCTCTGTAAAAAATCAATAAAATATATTAATTTTTTTTCTTAAAAAATAAAATAAATAAATGTTAAAAAAATAATCTATAAAAAAATTAGGTCACCTGTTCACATTCATGTATTCCCAACTGCAGATAAAACATATGTATGTCTTGATCTGGGTGGTTGTTATATGAGTATGTGCATATATAACAAAATCATTGAAATGTACACTTAAGATCAGTGTGCTTTTCCAATTTTATTGTATGCATCTTGTACCTCAAACAAAATTCAAGTACAAGAAAAGCAAAAGGCCGATGTGGCTGTTTGTTGGAGCGTTGTCTCATATGCCAAAAGGTGGTGGGTTTGATTCCGCATTGGGGCTTGAGTAGGAGGCAGCCAATGGATGTTTCTCCTATCTCTGTCTCTCTGTCAGTCTGTCTCCCTTCCTTTCTCTAAAATCAATTATAAAACAAAACAATACAAAACAAAAGGAGGCTCTTGAGCGTCAAGGTTAGTAAAGTGAAAGTATTCAATTAAAAAAGAAGCAGCTTGTAGCGTAAAACATAGGGGGAAAGTGTATTATTTAGATATGTCAGGCAGTTAATTAATAAAAATAGATGGTGTCTCCCTCCCCTAGTTTGTAATGCTTATCCTATTTGTCAGTTTCCTTAACTGTGTAATTTGTTATGACTTCTTTTATTATTCTAAGTAAATGTTCACTTTAGTAGTTAAAAAATATTACCTCCTCCCCTGCCCCGCTTTGGTAGAGCCCAGAGCAGTGCAGGAAAGCAGTTGTTGGGTAAGGATGGAGCCACACCCTGCTTGGAACCATGGGTAGCCTGGTGTGGGGTCCTGTGGCTATCCTGGGGGAAGTCACCATTTTTGCCTACCCAATGGGAAGCCTGCTGCAATGAGGCTCAGCCTGTTGCCCCTGCAGTGGAAGCCCTTCTGGAACATCTTCCTGAGATAAAGAGGCTGAGCCACACAATGATGTCAGCCTGATCAATTCTCCTTCTTCCTAACAGTTCTCAACGATGACCTTGGAGGTGAGGCATCCTTAGGGGAACTTTTTGAGTAACAGGGATGAAGGACACTGAGAAGGGGGAGTACCTAGGCTGCAAGCCCCTAATGAGCAGAACTGGTAGGGAGGTCTCCCATTACATCCTGGGGCTATTACCTTGGGGAGATGGGAGTGGACAAGCTGCCTTTCCATTATGCAAAGAATGGGCTTTTCAAGTAAATTTCCACTTAAGTAGGAGCTTAGATCAGTAAAGATGGGGCCATAATAGCTTACATGGTCATCGCAGCTATTAAAAATACATTTTTCCCCCCAGTGCTCAGGCTGCCTGTCATCTTCATATTCTTCATCCCCAGAAGACTATGACTCAACCTTTCCTAAACTGCAGGGAGGCAGGTTAATGTCCATCTGTATTTTCAACTTTTTAATTCCGCCCACATCTTAGCACATGGGCCTACACTGGCAGTCAGACATCCCTCTCGCAGTCTGGGACCCCTCGATCCTTACCGCCTGCCTGCTTGCTCCTTGCTTGGCTGGCTGCTCCTTAGCACCGCTGCGGAGGCGGGAGAGGCTCCCACCACTGCCACCTGCCACCGCTGCGGTGCTTGCCAGCTGTGAACTGGGCTTCCAGCTGAGCTGAGCAGTGCTTTCACACTGTGGGAGCACACTGACCACCAGCTCCTATGCTGAGCATCTGCCCCCTGGTGGCCAGTGCATGTCATAGTAACTGGTTGTTCTGCCTTAAGGGTAGCTGGGCTTTTACTAGTTCTGTATAATAAAAGTCTAATATGCAAATCAACTGATTGATGGAATGACTGGTGGAATGACCAGTTGCTATGATGTGCACTGACCACCAGGGAGCAGATGCTCAACACAGGAGCTTCTCCCAGCTCACAGGCCCCAGGCCAGCCAAGGTGGGTGCCAGTTGAGATATGGGGGGCACCCCCCATCGCCCTGCTGGTCACCCCACAGATCGGCCAGGCCCAGGGACCCTACCCATGCTTGAATTTTATGCACCAGGCCTCTATATTTATATATATAAATAACCCCCACCTCATAGAACAATCTTAAGAATGTATGTTTCAGCTGAAACCAGTTTGGCTCAATGGATAGAGCGTCGGTCTGTGGACTGAAAGGTCCTACGTTTGATTCTGGTCAAGGGCATGTACATTGGTTGTGGGCACATCCCCAGTGGGGGGTGTGCAGAAGGCAGCTGGTCGATGTATCTCTCTCATCGATGTTTCTAGCTCTCTATCCCTCCCCCTTCACCTCTGTAAAAAAATCAATAAAATATATATTTTTTAAAAAGAATGTGTGTTTCAAATTCACTTTTGTTCTCTCCCCTGTTCTTTGTGACCCTCTTAGTTTTTCCTACTCATCAGGTGAGGGCGGCTAGTTTCCTTGTTTTAAGGCTCTTCCCATAACTACCAAGCATTGGAAATTGAGCTTTCAGGGCAGGTGGCCCTCAGAGTTCATCCCCAGTCTATATAATCCACTGCCCCAATGCCATTACTGGCCCCAACTAGTGGTTCTCAAATAGGGATGATTTTGCCCTTCCTTCCCCAGACATTTGGCAAAGTCTGAGACATTTGGCAATGTCCGAGACATTTTCGGTTGTCACAGCTTAGGGGAGGAGCATACTACTAATATCTAGTGGGTAGAGTCCAGGGATACTAAACATCACAGACCCCCCCCCCCCCCCCAACAAAGAACCAGTTCAAAATGTTAAGAATGCCAAAACCCTACTGGGGGTTTTAAGTCCTCACTGGGTTTATTTGTAATAAATTCTTCCTGTCAGTCAGTCCTCGCCCTTCTTTGGCCTCCAGTGTTGTGATGGTCACAGTCCTCGCATCTGTGGACCACATGGCGTTTAAGCCACCGCTTTTCTGCTTAAGCGGTTGGAAGAGTGGGGAGGGAAGGAATGGCTCCATCTGTTGGCCACACTTAAAATCGCTTAAAACAGCCCAGCTCATTAAATGCTTGAATTCCTTTTACAAACATTCCCGCGAAGTAAGCAGTCTGCTCCCTCTCTAGTGACAGGTCACTACGTTTTGGGTTAATGGGGGGTAAGTAGTCCTTGCCTCTGTAACAGACGGAGGCAGCTGCAGCTCGACTAATGCAAAAAAGGACGGACTTGGGGCATAGAGTCTAAACAACCAGCAGCATGTCACCCCGGAGTTCGGCAAGGGATTTTATTCACCATGGGGGTGGTTGCAAAGATGTAAGTTGTTCTGGAAGGATTCGTTAGACACATTCATTATTTTGGTTAATCAATGGCAACAGGATCCGCTCACAAAAGACACTCTTTTTATCTTTAGTCCAATGACATCATCCCAAAGGTGCAGGGTATTCTCTCTTCTGCCCACTTTCTTGCTCCTATTCCCACCTCCCGTTTTCCAGTCCACTTTTCCCGGCCACTTATTCCTCTCAGCCACGCCCAGAGATCATGGCTTTCCCCTCTCTGCTTTCCAGCTTCTAATTTTCCCGCCCCGGTAGCTCTTGGCCAATCGGGGATGTAATGATCTCCTCTTTCCCGGCCTCTTGGTGACGTTGTAAAAAGTGAGATCTCTTATTGGTTGTCCCGGAGCAAGAGCGCACCAATAACAGGCAACCTTGTTTGGTGCCGGCGCACAGCTAGCGTCGTCGCTGCTGATTGGCTGGGGCGGCTGAGGCAGGAAGATGGCCGCGAGCCCCTCTGTAGTTCCTGTGGCCCTGACCACTCCGGGGGTACCCATCTTGTCAGCTAGTGGCGATTTCTCAAATTTGCGGGAAATTAAAAAGCAGCTGCTACTTATCGCTGGCCTTACCCGAGAGCGGGGCCTACTGCACAGTAGTAAATGGTGAGATGTCGGGGTGGGACGGGACCGGGCTTGGGGTCCTTGGCCTTGGGGGGCTTGCGGAGCTGACTCAGTTTGCGGGTGTTCCAGGTCCGCGGAGTTGGCCTTCTCCCTCCCGGCGTTGCCTCTAGTCGAGCTGCAGCCGCCTCCGCCTATGACAGAGGTAAGGACTGCTCCCCGTCTGCAACCAGAGGGAAGGACTTGTCAATGGAGGGAGCAGACTGCTTACTTCGCAGGAATGTTTGCAAAAAGGAATTCAATCATTTAAAGAGCTGGGCGTTTTATCTCCCCTCCCCCCCCCCTTTTTTTTTTTTACAAAAATATATTCATTGATTGATTTCAGAGAGGAAGGGAGAAGGAGAGAGAGATAGAAACATCAATAATGAGAGAGAATCATTGATGGGCTGCCTCCCGAAACCCAGGCATGTGCCCTTGGCCAGAGTTGAACCTGGGCTCCTTCAGTCCACAGGCTGATGCTCTATCCACTGAGCCAAGCTGGCTAGGGCAAAGAGCTGGGCGTTTTAAATGGTAGTGCGTTTACTTAAGCTGGAGAGAATAAGGAAAAAAATCCATGCTTAAGATTTCAGCCTTTTTGCTTTTGTAGCCCAGCTTAGACAATGAGCCAGAATCGAAGGTTTTTACAACAGTGAGAAACTGGTTTTGGATTCACACAGCTCTGGGCTCCAATCTCAGCCACATTGGTGACTTTCGGCAGTTTAACCTCCTGAACTATAGTATCCTCATCTGTGGAGTGAGAGTAAAATAGTATATACTTTATGGGACAGTTGAGGGAATTAAATGAGATCTGAATATGTTTTATGTCATCTATAGTACTGCATGTGTTTACATAGACTATGTAGTCTGAATGCTTTTTATCATAATCCATTTTGTTACTTGATTCCTTCCGCCCTTTAAAAACAATGAGTATTTTTTTTGCCGAGACCGGTTTGGCTCAATGGATAGAGCGTCGGCTTGGGGACTGGAGGGCCCGGGTTCGATTCCGGTCAAGGGCATGTACCTTGGTTGCGGGCATATCCCCAGTAGGGGGTGTGCAAGAGGCAGCTGGTCGATGACTCTCTCTCATCGATGTTTCTAACTCTCTATCTCTCTCTCTTCCTCTCTGTACAAAATCAAATAAAATATATTTAAAAAAAAAAAAAAAAAAAAAAAAAAACAATGAGTATTTTTTACTCTAAAAGGTATGGTGCAGCCCTGGCTGGTGTGGTTCAGTTGGTTGAGTGCCCTCCGGTGAACTGAAAGGTCGCTGGTTGATGCCCGGTCCGCGTGGGTACATGCCCAGGTTACAGGCTTCATTCCCTGGTCCAGTGGTGCTTGTGGGAGGCAGCTGATCTCTCCTTTTCCCTCTCCCTCTTCTTCTCCCTCCTTCCATCTCTCTTTCTACCTTTCTCTCTAAAATAAATAAAAACATATTTTTAAAAAGGTGTAATGCAGGTTGAGAAAGGGCAGGGGGAGAAATAAACAAATTGTAAGTGGATATGAAAAGAGCCAGCAGAATCCTAAGCTGAAGAGCCACATTTAAGACAGGTTTATCCAGTGAAGAAAACACTGAATATGTTTTGGTCCTGTTTTGTGCTGGTAATATTTGGGGCAAGAAGCAAGAGGAGAATGAAATTATTGAAGTTTTAATCAGCTTATCTCTAGAATTTGGGATGTGGATTATACATTTAACTTAAATATGCATTATTTCATTTTTTCCCCAGAGAATTATAGCTGTATTGTAGTTTTGTTTTTTTTTCAATACTAACATGTTTAAATGTTCTTGAAGTACAAAAAGTGTAAGTAATTGCAGCATATTGCATTTATGTAGAAATTTAAAAGCCTGGGGAAGGAAGGGAATGCCAAACATTAATGCCAAACATTTTCTTTTCCTTTTTTTTTTTTTTTTTAAATATATTTTATTAATTCTTTACAGAGAGGAAGGGAGAGGGATAGAGAGCTAGAAACATCGATGAGAGAGAAACATTGAACAGCTGCCTCCTGCACATCCCCTTCAGGGGATATGCCCGCAACCAATGTACATGCCCTTGACCGGAATTGAACCTGGGACCCTTGAGTCCATAGACCGATGCTCTATCCACTGAGCCTAACCGGTTTCGGCAATGCCAAACATTTTCTATAACTTTCTCTCTCACCTTTTCCTTCATGTCAAATCTAAATTATTGGTTCCATTTACTGATGAAGAAGTGAATACTCAGAGAAGCTAAGTAACTTTCCTACTGATGTCATGAAGCCAGAAAATCAGAGTTAGAGTTTGAATATAGGTCTCTAATACTAAAGCCTATACAACTTCTGCATTTACAGAAACAATAAATGTTTCTGAGTGTGTTGGTTTAATATTTTATAAATTTTTATTTTTTTCTCTAACTTTAAAAAATATGTACTTTTATTAATATCAGAGAGGAAAGGAGAGAGAGCGAGCGAGATAGAAACATCAATGATATGAGAGAAACATTGATAGGCTGCCTCCTGCTTCCCCCTGCTCCTCCCCCCCCCCCCCCCGGAATTACAGAATTAAGCCCTCAACCTGGTCATGTGCCCTGACTGGGAAATGAACTGGGATCTCCTGGTTCATAGGTTGATGCTTAACCACCAAGCATCAACCTATGATGGGCTCCCATAACTTTTTATTTTGAATAAAAAGAAAGTTATCTGACTTTACTTCATTATATATACTAGAGATCCAGTGCCAGAAATTTGTGCACTCAGGGGTCCCCTCAGCCTGGCCTGTACCCTCTTGCTATCTGGCAGTTGGACATCCTTAGTGCTGCTGCAGAGGCAGGAGAGGCTCCCTCCACCGCTGCTGCACTCTCCAGCCATGAGCCCGGCTCAGGGCTTCTGGTTGAGCAGTGCTCCACCATGGGAGCACATAACCACCAGGGAGCAGCTCCTGCGTTGAGAGTCTGCCCCTGGTGGTCAGTGCGAGTCATAGCGACTGGTTGTTTCACTGTTCAGTTGACTTGCATATTAGCCTTTTATTATATAGGATGGTTTTGGGAGGAGGAAAAGGAGAGAAAAATTATTTTTTCTTACATCTTGAAATTGGATTTGAACTTTTTGTCTTATTCCCAATCATTTACAAAAATTTGTCTCTTCTAGGAAGATGCCCAGGATATGGATGCTTACACCCTGGCCAAAGCCTACTTTGATGTTAAAGAGTATGATCGGGCAGCACATTTCCTGCATGGTTGCAATAGCAAGAAAGCCTATTTCCTGTACATGTATTCTAGATACCTGGTGAGGGCTATTTTTACTTTGAACCAAGTGGAAAAAGTTAAACCTTTTAAATAGCATAGCAATAGCCTATTTGGTGAATGTACTTTATAAATATTTGAAAGTAATAAAGAAGTCATAATGTTAAAAAAATGCTATGATATAAAATATTTTAAAAAACTGATAATATTGACAAAGGTGCGAGGCAGTAGATCCCCCCTTCCCCCCCATTTGAGGTCAGTTTGAGTAGATTATATTAATTTGAAATACTATGACCAAGCAATTCTACTTTAAGTAACTTGCCCAATGTTAATACCTCTGTTCATGGAAATTTTTTTACCCCAAAATGTCAACAACTTAAATATCCATTAGTCAAGAAATTAATTGTTAATTCTTGCCTGAAGTATATTTTACTATGATGTTGCAAAATGATGATTTTTCCCTTCTAGCACTCTCCACATTTACTGCTGCTCATTTGTCATTCTGTTCTAAGCAAGAGTCTTCCCTTCCCTGTCCATTTATCTATTTACCTAGTATGGACTTCATTTCAGTACTTAATTATTTGGTGCTCAAATTATTCCAGTTTTGACCAATGGGAGCCCGTGAATAGTTACTTAAAATTAGTGACCAATAGTAGCTGCCATTTTGGATGGTTTGGGGCCTTTTAGATAGAATCAGGCTGTTAGTGTTAGAACAGGTTCAAAATTCACTGGTAAAAAGACCCATGTGTGGATTTTCTCTTACAGTCTGGAGAAAAGAAGAAGGATGATGAAACAGTTGATAGCCTAGGTATGAATTTCTTTTTTCACCTTTTAGATGAAAGCAGGGGTTGCACACACACATGCCTATAGAAGCCAGGCAGGGAGTACAAATGTGTGAAGTGGCCAGAGGAGGGCTATTGGAAATTGGGTAGCACAACTGGCTGATTGTCTTCCAGCTCCAGCTGAGGATTGCCTTGTGGCCTGCTATTGTCAAGGCTTTCTTCTCTGACTCTACTCCATTGCCTGCAACCTGAAGCTGGAAATTCAGATTTTTAGTTGAGGCTTCTCATTTTTAAATGTTGATACTAATTCAAAACTTTAAAAACCTGTGTGGGCTTAGCAAAATATGACTGCAGACCAGTTATCAGTTGTTATTTTTTTGGGGGGGGGAAATTGTATAAGATATTGACCACTTGTGAATGCTTGCTGGAAGTTTCAGGTGTAGCTGTTGGATGCCAAAAGAAATGTCAGGTCTATAAAATGAAGACCAGCAGTTTCTCTTAGATTAAAGACTTTGTTTCTTTTCTAGGCCCTCTGGAAAAAGGACAAGTAAAAAATGAGGCTCTTAGAGAACTGAGAGTGGAGCTCAGCAAAAAGCACCAAGCTCGGGAACTTGATGGTTTTGGCCTTTATCTGTAAGTGTTAGAGTAAGTTGGAACTTTGTACAACATATTCTCCTGAGTAGAAGAGAGCTGTTATAGAGCATTACCTTCTGTGATGGTTTCCTTCTTTTCTAGGTATGGTGTTGTGCTTCGAAAACTGGACTTGGTGAAAGAGGCCATTGATGTGTTTGTAGAGGCTACCCATGTTTTGCCTTTGCATTGGGGAGCCTGGCTAGAACTCTGTAACTTGATTACAGACAAAGAGATGGTAAGTTAAGATGAGCTATGTGCCCTAGCTGGTTTTCTTAGTGGTTAGTGTGTCGCCTGTGATTGAAGGGTCCAGGGTTTGATTCTCACCAAAGGCTGTCCAGGTTGTGGGCTTGATCCCCAGTGGGGAGCATGCAGGAGGCAATCAGTCAATGATTCTCTCTCATCATTGATGTTTCTATTTCTCTATCTCTCCCTTCCTCTGAGAAATCACTAAAAATTTTTTTTAAAAGATGAGCTATGTGAAAAAGTGTGTGCTTCAAGTTTTATATAATTTTGTAGTAATGGGGTGGGAGGAGAGAGGTTTGATTATATAGATAGCTCTTTGCTCCTTCTATGGTCTCTTTCACAGTTGGGATTTCGGTCTTCAGGTCTTCATTTGAAAGACAAATGTCTAGCTCTTGTTTGGTAGTTGCTGTTTGATTTGCATCCAGTTATATTAGGACTAGAGGCCCGATGGACAAAATTCGTGCAAGAGTAGGCCTTCCTTCCTCCAGCTGCCAGCGATGGCTTCCCTCTGGCACCTGGACCTAGGCTTCCTGCTGGCTGCCAGCAGGCACCTGGGACTTGGGACCCGGGCTTCCCTCATAGCCCCAGCTTGTTTGGAAGGTCGTCCAGTCTAATTAACATATTATCCTTATTATTATAGACTAGAGGCTTGTTGCACGAAATTCGTGCTCGGGGTTGGCATGGCATGAGGGGGCGGGATGTTCCTCAGCCTGGCCTGCGCCCTCTCGCAATCCAGTACCCCTCAGGGGATGTCTGACTACTGGTTTAGGCCTGGTTCCGTAGGGATCCCAGCAGGATTGAGCCTAAACTGGCAGGCATCCCTCTTGCAATCCAGGACCGCTGACTCCTAACTGCTCGCCTGCCTGCCTGATCGTCCCTAACCACCTCTGCCTCAGTCCCTGCCACAGCAGCTTTGTCTGGAATGACGTTCAGAGGATTGTTCGGCTGTCCAGTCTAATTAGCATATAACGCTTTTATTATTATAGAAGATACCATTCATATTCATGTATTCACATTCAAGTTTTACTGAAACTTGTTTTATAGACTAAATACTGTTGCAGTTTCTTTTTTTGTGTGTGTGTGTCTATTTTTTTTTTTTTTAATTGATTATGGTCTCACATAATTGTCCTTATTCCCCCATTCCCATCCCAGACCCCTCCCTAGATATGCCCCCCCACCCCCCACCCCCGTTGTCCATGGCCATTGGCTAGGCCCATATGTATGCACACAAGTCCTTTGGTTGATCTCTTCCCCTTACCCCTATCCCCCCTTATTTTCCCTCTGAGGTTTGAGAGTTTGATCGCTGGTTCTCTTTCTCTGGGTCTGTTTGTGTTGTTCATTATTTCCTCTAGATATGTGAGATCATGTGATCCAAGAAATACCCTTGTAAGAACCTAAACTGCAACAAGCCATAATGGTTATGCTAAGAGGCAAATGAATCAGTCTGTAGTGAGTTCCTTTCTGGGCCAACAGTTCTTTTGCATCCCAATTTCAATGCCAGATAGTTTCTTATGTGTACATGCCAGCCATGATATTTCAGATCTGGTTGGTGGATAAATGGCGGTAATTCAGGTCCGCCTGTCTCTAGTTTGGTCCTGGGCATCCTTCAGCAACCTGCGGCTGCTGTCTGCTGGTATGCTGAGGCGTCGTCAGCATCTTCCATCTCTGAATTGTGTCTCTTCTGTCTTCATGGCTGGAGCGCTTCTGTCTATTGCTCTCTGTTACGGAATTCCAGATGGTCTCGGAGTTGTTTTCTGAAAATATATAAACATATTCTCGACCAAAGGTTAATAAAGGGATATTTTCTTTAAATTTTATTTGGGATTCTTTTCCATTTTCCCCCCCAAAATGATTTTCCCCTGGCTTGTTTTGTCACCATGTATATATTTTCATGGGTATCTTGCTATTAGCGTTTCGAATGAAGGTTAATTTTCTAAAGCACAAATTTTTTAGATGTAAATTACTATCAGGATATATTTCCTTACATGATATTCTTCCACTGTCACCCCCTTTTTTACTTTAAATAATAGGAAACTTTTGGAAATTTTATACTGTAGTCTTGATAGCTTTTAAATTTTAAGTTAGTTGCACTATACTATGACTACTTTAGATTCATAACATGTTGTGCAATTTTACCGTGGACACTCTGCCCATAAGAATTTTTGTTAACCCAACAGCTTTTGAACAGTACAATCAGTTTTGTTTTTTTTAATATTCATTTATTTCCATTAGCCACATTACTTTCCTCTGAGAATTTGTCTACCATTCATCTGTCATACTCAACTCTAGCATCAATCTCATTTATCATGTGTGTGTTAGTGGAGTTGATTATTTCCCTTCTTGAGAAGGGCCTGAGCATTCCTGCTGCTAGGTTGGACTTGGATATTAAAAACCACTTGCCCACACCATGGGGATGAGTCCTCTCAAATAAGTCTTGTTGCAGTGAGAGGGCAGCTGCTGTCAGCCAAGTATCTGTCTGTTACCTGGGTCCCACTTTGAGCTGTGCATGGGAAGCGACGCAGCCAAGGGGGCAGGAGACCTCCCTCAGAATGGGAGAAGGTTCAGGTGCCTGCCATGTTGCAGGGGGGGTTGGTAAGGGTCTGTGCCCCAACTCTGTTGACCCCCAAGTTCTCTCCTGATGGCCCCTCTGTGACTGTGCCTATCTTAGATGGTTCCTTCCTTGAGGAATCTTACCTGTCTCTGGCTAACCAGCCATCCTCGGGGCCAAGCAGGGTGATGTGAGGTTTAGTTCTGTCTCCTTGGTAGCCTATTCCCCCATGGGCTCCACACCCAGCACCTGCCTCAGGAACCCCTCACCTGCTGGCGGGGCCCAGGCATTGATCTCATATTTTTGGGAACCCAGGTTTCTTTTCCAGAGAGGGCCCAGCTCCCCCCACTGGGTGGGCAAGAGATCCGTGGTACCAGCCACCATGGTGCTTCAGCCTCGGCATGAATTGAAAGGTCAGGCCACAATTGTGGGCACCTGGACCACAAGAAGAGGTTCATTTTTGGCCAAAAGGGCAAGATGAGCCACTATAGAATGCTCAGGTACCTTCCCAGGGGGCCCTCTGCATAGTGGAAGGGATGAAGTCCTTTTATGTCGTTTTTAAATTGCTGCCAGACATTCAAAGGATTGGTTTGTATGTTTGTTTGGGAAAATTGTACAATGTGCTGTTGTAATTCTAAAATATCTAGAGCTGTGTTACCTTTGTCTCCAAGCACCAGCAAAATATATATATACACACACATATATATATATACATATATATGTGTGTGTGTGTGTGTGTGTGTGTGTATATATATATATATATATATATATATATATATATATATATAAAATAAAATAAAATAAAGTAAATGATTTTTTATTGGTACCCCATGGTGAGAGGTACTGTTATACTATTATAGATAATGGGGATAACCCAGATGTGGGAAAAATTATAGTGACCTTGTGGAATAATCTCATGTAAGGATATTTTTTGCTCTAGGCCATGGAAATTCTGTTTTAAACTGGCCGTCAATTTCTTTTTGTATAGACAAGGTCTTTGTTTCATTTTCTACACCTCTCCCAGGAGGAAGGAGTGATGATCCCTTCCTTTGGTGTCCTCACCAGCTAGAAACCTCTGTTTAATTTTACACACAAAGGAACAGTGGTTTAATTCTGTGTCATACAGAAGAGGAGATGGGTGGTGACCCCTATGTAATTATACTTTTTTGTCCCCCTGTGGACTTCCTGGATGACCAAGGTGTTTGGTGTCATCAGTGACTACTTTGGGTAGGAGGATCAGCCCAAGTAAGGGCTCCCAACAGTGAAGGATTAGGAGTTTAAGTCCAGAAATACCCAATAGCCCTAGGTTATATTACCATACAGCTGATGCCCGTTAGCATGGCAGTAAAGACGTCTGTTGCAGTTTCTTAATTTCAAAGGTGCTGTTATAGGAAAGGTTCCTCTGATATCAAGGATCATATTTATCCCAGCCGGTGTGGCTCAGTGATTAACACCTATGTATGAGCCAGGAGATCATGGGTTCGATTCCCCATCAAGGTACATGCTTGGGTTGCGGTTCTGTCCCCAGTAGGTAGCCAATTAATGATTCTCTCTCATCATTGATGTTTCTATCTCTCTTTCCCTTTCCCTTTCTCTCTGAAAGCAATTAAAAATATATATTTTAAAAGGGGATCATATTTAAAACTTTTTAAAAAAAATATATTTTATTGATTTTGTACAGAGAGGAAGGGAGAGAGATGGAGAGTTAGAAACATCGATGAGAGAGAGTCATCAATCAGCTGCCTCTTGCACACCCCCTACTGGGGATATGCCCGCAACCAAGGTACATGCCCTTGACCGGAATCAAACCTGGGACCCTTCAGTCCCCAAGCCGACGCTCTATCCATTGAGCCAAACCGGTTTTGGCCATATTTAAAACATTTTAAGTCTCTGCTGAGCTCATAGAACTTTGAGAAGATACAGAGATTTGTTAATTAAGGAAATAATATATATAAATTATTATATATATTATATATATATATATAATATATATAAATTATCTCCCTCCCTACTATGCAATCATTTTATTAGGCATTATTAGAGAATATGGTCTATAAAGTTTATTTGCTTTCTTCAGTAATTAATGGAAATGATAACATTTCTTTTTTTAAAATATATATTTTATTCATTTTTTACAGAAAGGAAGGGAGAGGGATAGAGAGTTAGAAACATCAAGGAGAGAGAAACATCTATCGGCTGCCTCCTGCACACTCTCTCCTGGCTGTGTGCCCGCAACCAAGGTACATACCCTTGACTGGAATCGAACCTGGGACCCTTGAGTTTGCTGGCCAATGCTCTATCCATTGAGCCAAACCAGTTAGGGCCATGGTTTCTACTTGTATCTGTCTCTTTCTTTTGGCTTCTTTTGCCATCTTGTTTATTTCCAACTTGGATTTCTTATAAGTAATATATACTTTCTAGCTTTCCCATCTTTATACTCCATTTCTAAGCCCTCCTGCATACGGTTTCCAAATTTATTCTTAAAACACCATGTCATCATGATTCTCATGAGTAAAGATTCAGTGGTTTCCTGTTGCATACCATTTCCTATTGCACTATAGGAACCACCCTACCATTGCAGTCTTATTTTTCCACTGCATCCGAGCACAAAGCTTCTCTTCACCCACATTCATCATAATTGTTTTTCTTTTATTTATGTTGTCCTTGCCTAGAATGTTCATTTTTTTTCTCTTCCTTTCCCCTTTTTTATTCAATACCCACCCTCCAAGACATCTCAAATCCTATCTATTCTTTGAAGCCTTCCCCAACTGGGCCTTTCCTCCTTACTATGTTTATAAATCCTATTACACTTGAAATGCCCTCTGTCCATTATTAGGTGCTATAATAAAATTTCCCATGATAAACATCTTTAGATAAGTGATTTTCAAGCTTTTTCATCTAATGGCACATGTAAACTAATTACTAAAATTCTGTGGAACACTAAAAAATACGGTTTTTGTCAATCTGACAGAAAAAAATTTTTTTGGGTCATTCATTCCAGGCGGGTACTGTTGTGTTAACTCTCGTCACTTTTTTTATTTGACAGTGTAAGGGAAAAGGGGTCAGTGCCCCCTGACTAAATAGTCAGGTGTTGCATGTTTTAAAAATTCTTTCGGCACAGCACTGTGCCTCTTGTGGCACACTGGCTGAAAATCGCTGCTTTAGACAATAAAAATAGTTCCTTGATGTTCTTTTGGAAGAGAGATCAAAATATATTAAATGTGTTCCTCTCTTTCCTGCTGCCAGCTGAAGTTCCTGTCTTTGCCAGACACCTGGATGAAAGAGTTTTTTCTGGCTCATATATACACAGAATTGCAGTTGATAGAGGAGGCCCTGCAAAAGTATCAGAATCTTATTGATGTGGGCTTTTCTAAGAGCTCTTATATTGTTTCCCAAATTGCAGTTGCCTATCACAATATCAGAGGTAAGTGAATAAGGACAATGAAATTCTTCAAACCCTGAAAGTATCATTGTGTTGTTTTCTGAACTATGTTCTTTCTGCAGATATTGATAAAGCCCTCTCTATTTTTAATGAGCTAAGGAAACAAGACCCTTATAGGATTGAGAATATGGATACATTCTCCAACCTTCTTTATGTCAGGGTGAGCTGCTTCCTTAACTGGGACTTCATTAAGCTCATTTGTGCTTTCATCTGGGTTGGATTGTCATCCAGTTGCATTAACTACAAGAAAAATAAGAGGTTCATTTTTCATGCTTAGACTGTCTTTTTCTTTTCTTCCAGAGCATGAAATCTGAGTTGAGTTATCTGGCTCACAACCTCTGTGAGATTGATAAATATCGTGTAGAAACTTGCTGTGTAATTGGTAAGAGTCATTATTCTTTTTCTTTTAAGATTTACCTTTATTGTAAATAATATAAGTATAAAAATAACAACAGTATAAAAGTGTCAAAAGTAACAAAATAATGTACAATAGAATGTGAAAGCTCGCTATAACCCTATCCCCAAGATTGTTTAGAGAACATGACTCCAGAATATTTTTCTGTGTGAATACTAAAAATGTGTGTGTGCAAGTGTGTGTACAGTTTGTAAAAAATATGCCATTATACACACTGCTTTGTAACTTCTTTTTTTAAACTTAATATATCTTTTTCTTTTTTTGGGTCTAGATATTTATTATTTTTATTGTGATCTAATATTATATAGATGTGCCATCATTTTAATATAAAAATTGCTTTAGGAAACATTTTTGTATGTGTACATTTATTTTTGCATGTTAATTCAATTATTTTTGTATAATAAGCAGTAAAAGACTGGATCAAAAGTTATATATATAGTTTAAACTTTAGTACTACCAAAACGTTTGTAGGCTGGTGTGGCTCAGTTGGTTGGGTGTCATCCCGTGCATCAAGAGGTTGCTGGTTGGATTCCCAGTCAGGGCACACGCCCCGGTTGTGGGCACTAACCCTGGTTGGGGGTATGCAAGAGCCAACTGGTTGATGTTCTCTCTCTCTCTCCTCTTAAAAAGAAAAATTTGAAAGAATTTGCAATCCTATGAAAAGATATGAGAGTGCCTGTTTCTATGTATTGGCATTAATGACATTTTAGGGTAACTTTTTTGTGAAGGGCTGTCTTATGCAGTGTAGGGTATTAGTAGTATCCTTAGCATCTACCCACTGCTCCTTCTCCCTAGTTGTGCTGATAAAAAATATTTGCACGTGCCCTACACAGTTTGGCACAGTGGATATAGCATAGGTCTGCAGACTGAAGGTCCCTGGTTCGATTCTGGTCAAGGGCACATGCCTGGGGTTGGTTGTGGGCTCAATCCCCAATAGGAAGCGTGCAGGAGGCAGCCCGATCAATAATTCTCAGTATTGATGTTTCTATCACTCTCTCCCTCTCCATTCCTCTCTGAAATAAATAAAAATGTATTTAAAAAAATATTTGCAGGTATTGCCAAATAACTTCTTGGGTCAGAATCATCTCTGGTTATGAACCATGGTCCTATGTACTTGGCCACACTAGTATAGCTTGGTCAGCTGACATAAACAGATGAATGGCCACTCCTGGGTAAAAGTAAGCTTGATTGGTTGTGGTTGGAAGTCTATGTTTCCTGGAGATGAAAGGGACATACCTATCTCTGGGCCTTTGGTGACACTGCATCACCAAAATATAAAGCTTACTTTAAGATCATGCATTTGTACCTTTCTAGATCAGGATATTGTTAATAAACTGATAGAATTTTTAAAAAAATATATTTTATTGATTTTTTATAGACAGGAAGAGAGAGGGATAGTTAGAAACATCAATGAGAGAGAAACATCGATCAGCAACCAAGGTACATGTCCTTGACAGGAATCGAACCTGGGACCTTTCAGTCCGCAGGCCAATGCTCTAAACTGATAGAATTTCAATTCATCAATTATTCAGTGAATATTTCCAGTTCTTGAGGAAGTTGTAGTCTGGCATGGTTATGTAATAAGTCCTTTGAAAACATAGGTAAGAGTAGGAACGAATGATCTTCTCAATATAGAACATTATGAATAAAGTATAAAGTCCATTAAGTGAGGATGGAACTTCAGTTTATTCAGAAAACATCTTCAAGCATCTTCTACTCAGAGTGCCAGGCACTGTGCTTTGTTTTGCATTATCTACTCTAATTGCCTATTTAGGAAGTCCAATAAGAAAACAGTTACAATATAATGGGCTGAGTGTTATGATTGAGGTAAACATAGGATGCTAAGAGAGTACATAGGACTGGGGCAGTGTGGGGCAGTGTGGGGCAGTGGTTGAGCCTATGAGCCAGGAAGTCACGATTCAGTTTCCATTCAGGGCACATTCCCTGGGGGTTGCAAGTTCAATTCCCAGTAAGGGGGTATGCAGAAGGCAGCTGATCAATGATTCTCTTTCATCAGTAGGAGGGTTAGTGAAGGACGACCAAACGACTGAACAGCAGGCTGCATGGGGCAACCAGGCTGGCAAGGGGGGATTAGTAAGAGACGACCAAATGATTGAACAGCAGGCTGCATTGGGTGACAGGCCAGCAAGGGGTTAGTGAGGGATGACAAAATGACTGAACAAGCAGGCTGCGTGGGGCGACCAGGCCAATGGGGGGGCTGTGAGGGGTAACCATGTCGGCAGTGGGGGCAGTTGGGGGCAATCAGGAAGGCAGGCAGGTAAGTGATTAGGAGCCAGCAGTCCAGGATTGTGAGAGGTATGACCGACTGCTGGTTTAGGCCCTATCTCTGGGATCGAGCCTAAACCAGTAGTTGGACATCCCCCAAGGGATCCTGGATTGGAGAGGGTGCAGGCTGGGCTGAGGGGAACCTCCCCCTGTCCTTGCACGAATTTCATGCACCGGGCCTCTAGCGATAATATAACTGCTTTGATTCCTGAGGAAGAGCAGAGCTCAGAGCTCTACCTTTTTCACCCCTGAGGTACCCTAGCAATATAGTTGGAAAACCAAAATATAAAGCTTACTTTAAAAATGTCTTACCCTTTAACAAAATATATGTATAATTGCTATATAAGATAAAATGAAAAACTTGCAATGTTAGGGAACACTTTTAAAACCAGAATGTGAGATAAATGATTATTTATTTGATATATATATTTCCCCAGGGAGCAATGATATTTCTCTTATGTACAGTTCGGCTCTCTGTAAGGGATTTGGGGGAAGGAGTTATGGTTTCATGTGGAATGATGCCTATTTTAGTGGACTTTTATTTTTTATTTAATTTTTTGTTAATCCTCACCTGAGGATGTTTTTCTTTTGTTTTTTAGAGAGAGTGGAAGGGAGGGGGAGAGACAGAGAGAGATGTGAAAGACAAAGATCGACATGAGAGAAGCACATTGATTGGTTGCTTCCCCCAGTGACCTTGACTGGGCCAGGGATCCAGAATCGAACCCATGAGCCTTTAGTTCTGATGCTCTATCCACTGAACAAAACAGGCTAGGGCCGTAAACTTCTATTTTTACCTTTCTAATTATTTATGTTTTTTTTTTTTCAATCAGGCAATTATTATAGTTTGCGTTCTCAGCATGAGAAAGCAGCCTTATATTTCCAAAGAGCTTTGAAATTGAATCCTCGGTATCTTGGGGCCTGGACACTAATGGGACATGAGTACATGGAAATGAAGAACACATCTGCTGCTATTCAGGCTTATAGGTGAGCTCCTAGTTGTGGGTAGAGCAGATTGCTGTGATGTTGGGAGCCTTTTTTGAGCCTGCAAGTTGCTAACTTTGATTCTCTTCCATTTCTTAGACATGCCATTGAGGTTAATAAGCGGGACTACAGAGCCTGGTATGGCCTCGGGCAGACCTATGAAATCCTTAAGATGCCATTTTACTGCCTTTATTATTATAGACGGGCCCATCAGCTTCGGTAAGTCTGGCCACTTGACAATGTGTTTGTTTTGGGGAGTGCTGACACTTCTTCCTCTTTTGATGGCCACTGAGTGACTAACTAGTGGGTAGTATATAGAGAGTGGATATACTGGCCAAAGGGATCATTCATGTTCTGGATGGGAAAGAGCAAGATGGTGTGAGATTTCATCATGCTATTCAGAATGGTGTGCAATTTAAAACTTAAGAACTGTTTATTTCTGGAATTTTCCATGTAATATTTTCAGACTGCAGTTGACTGGAAAGTGAAACCTCGAATAATGGGGGGATCACTACAGTGGTGGTGGTGGAACTTAGTTATCTATAAGACTTTTTCACACTATTACTATTTTGTCTCAGGCCCAATGATTCTCGTATGCTGGTTGCTTTAGGAGAATGTTATGAGAAACTCAATCAACTTGTGGAAGCCAAAAAGGTATGAGATTGAGCCCTTGAGAATTGAGTGGGAATCTGCTGCTTGGATGAAGGGTGGGGCTATCTGTGCTCTCTAACTTTTCTTCATTCTGGTATCTCTACATGTGGAAGTCAGAATACATAATAGGCTAAAAAGCAAAGCTTGGGTGACATTATCTGTGGAAATGTCAGTATGTAGCCTGGACCTATGATTTAGTAAAAATGCCTGCATCTTGCAAATCTGAAGTTCTGGGAGGCTTGCAGGACTTGAACCTTTGAGTGATTAGTGATGGCACCTGGGCAATGGTCAGAGTGACAAGTTTATTTTTTTGACAGTGTTACTGGAGAGCTTACGCCGTGGGAGATGTGGAGAAAATGGCTCTGGTGAAACTTGCAAAGTGAGTGAGAGGAATAAAATGCTATTGATATTTCTGTTGGCTCCTCTGGTATGGTGGGTGAGCCTTCTATCCATCATCCTACATGAATGTGGGGATGTAGCAGGGTGTATGAATAGTGATCTAAGAATTTAGCCATTTGACTTGAGAGAATGACACTTCTCTTTAAAGTGGGAATTGCTTTCCTATTAGGCAAGGGACCAAGAATGAATTGAAAGAAATGAAATGAAAATTTTATGTTAGCAGTCTAGGAAAACAAAGTACTGCTCTCCTAATAAGAACTATGAAAATAATAACTCAGAAGTAGTAGGCAAAGAGTTTCTTAAATACAATTTTATTTTATTCATGCCAGTTCTTTTCTGACTTATTAGAAAAAAATCTGAATTATCCTTTTTTAAATCTCACTCAGAATATTAACAAAGTTTCTGCAAAAGTGTGTTACTCAGCTTATGTATTTGCTAACTTTCCCTTCATTACCAGTAGCAGAGTAATGATACTAAATTTGATAAAAATAACCTCGCTTCTGGCATAAATACTATTCTGGATCCAGTGTGCTATTTATGTAAAAATTTGTAATTGTCTTTGTGTTGTCATTTTTTTGGTTTTAATAATGTGCTTTTACTATTTATCATTATTTAGCTTTGAGATCTGATTTGTACTTAAAGACCAATTTCTTTTGTAGGCTTCATGAACAGTTGACTGAGTCAGAACAGGCTGCTCAATGTTACATCAAATATATCCAAGATATCTATACTTGTGGGGTATGTGTCCTGGACATGAGGACTGGGTTGCTGATTTTATTTATTATCACCTTAGTCATCTCTGCTTTCCTTATCTAGGAAATAGTGGAACACTTGGAGGAGAGCACAGCTTTCCGCTATCTGGCCCAATACTATTTTAAGTGCAAGCTGTGGGATGAAGCTTCAACTTGTGCCCAAAAGTGTTGTGCATTCAATGATGTGAGTATTAGTTATTGAGTTTGGATTTGGGGTCAAACATATAATCTTTACCATGATTTGGAAGTAGAAAGTGGAAAATAAGGTAAGTGGAAAGACTATCTTGATTTATGAAACTTAGACATGAGTATTTTAGAACCTGTTTTTGAGAACATCCTTGGACATATTTTGAAATAGTTGCCTGATTTTGTTTCAGACCCGGGAAGAAGGTAAGGCCTTGCTCCGGCAAATCTTGCAGCTTCGGAACCAAGGAGAGACTCCTTCCACTGAGATGCCTGCACCCTTTTTCCTACCGGCATCACTGTCTGCTAACAATACTCCTACACGCAGAGTTTCTCCACTCAACCTGTCTTCAGTCACACCATAGTTGACTAGCACATTGCCAGACTGATGTTAAGCCTTACCCCCGTGTAAAAAAGTCGCCATGTCTGTTCTTTCAAGGACCTTAGCTCTTTTTGTGTGTACAGATGGAAACAGCTCCTTGGGGAGAGTTTATAGGATCACTTTCAGAGTAGACTGACAGAAGAATCCTGGCAGGAAACAGACACCGTCTTGCCAGTTAGAAGCACTTCTTCCTTATGTTCAGAGTAGCTACAGAGTCTGGCCTTCTTCCCAGATTCCCCCCACCATACCTCCAAACATCCTTGTACTAGCACTTTAACACAGGCAAGGCTACAGGCTACCGGCACCGTTTTAATGCTGCTGGGAGTGGTTTCCTGAGAAATGAGGAAAGGAGAAAAGTTTGTGATTCTATCCTCTGCTGACAGTAGGGGCACTGGATACCCTAGCAAGGTTAGGGCGCTGGATAAACATGATCGTATTCTTGGATTTGCTGAGCGTGATGGTTCTGTCAAGAGATTAGGTTTAAATGGAGTAAAACTATACAGTATGTCCTCGGGTTACGTCGGAGATCTGTCCTACAGCATGATTTTTATCAAGTCAGAATCCACCTACATAAGCACCTATGTCACTCACATGGAGCACATAGCAGTAATGAAGTGACAGAAGGATAACAATTCCTGACCTTTACTTGTGGTAAATAATAAAAAACAAAGCACATATGTAGAAATGACGAACTTTTTTTTTTTTTTTAATAAATGAGAGATGGTGACGAAACCATGAATGTTGTACGTCGTGTCTGATGTAGCCCGAAGACTGCCTATACATTTGCTTTAAAGAGTCTCCTAGAATATTTCAAATTCGAAGTATCTTACTAGAGTTGAATAGAAGGGATAAACATAATCTCACGGAGCATGAAGGCCCCTTCCAAGAGCAAAAGATGTCTAGTTATCTATATCCTCCCCTAAAAGCAAAATAAGGAGACAGGATCGCAGATAATCTCATGGCCATTTGGAGATAACTTTTTGTAACTACAGACAAGAATAAACTCATTTCAAGCTGGTCTGTTTTAATATTTTTGATGTAATTATCTTTTTTTCAGGCTAGACAAGGTAAAGGGAATCATTGTTAGTGTACTCTTAGAGGGTGTTAGGCCTGTGCATGCATATTTAGTAGGAGGAATATGCAATGGTTATGTATGCTGCAATGAATTTGTATAGTAGAGACACGAATTATTCTGAGCTCAGGACCCAGCCTTCCTCTGTCCATGTTTCCAAAACAAGTTTGTTACCTATTCACCTCCTAATGTATCATACTTCATTTTATAGTAAAGAAGGTGTAGACTATATGATGTCCCTTGAATTCATTTCTTATTAAGCTTTCTTAGATGTCTAGCAACATTCCTGTACAGGGTTTCCATGGGCCTGAATGATAATTTAAAATTTTTCTTTCCTTTTATAATTGGAATGGTTTTGTTAAATTTGGGATTCAGATTAAAAAATGTGAACAATATCTTTAATATAGCTTTCTTTTTTGTGCTGCATAAAAAAAATAAGTAAAAAAGCATGAGATTACATAGGTGACTATATTACAAAAAACCAAACAACTAGTGTATGAATATTACATTTTGCATAAAGTTCAAGGTTTATATATATGGTGAAGTTTAAAAGACACATTTCTTAAGCTGAGTATCCGACCCACTTCAGGACAAGGATTGCTCTCTTCTTCCCCACAACCTCAGTATTTTTTGCCAAATGGCCCAGACTTGAGTAAAGGGGTATGCCGTGAGCGCAGGATCCGAGCATAAGGGCTGCAGTCGGTTGAGCTTTGGCAGGTGGGTGTTCGATGAAGAAAATTTCGAAGAAATGGTTTCTTCCCTGGGGGCTCTTGGTTTGGTTGCTGGTTTTCCTGGTTGACACCAACGCGCTTTTTGGTAGAAGCCTGGCCTTGGAGTTTTAGCACAGTATGGTACTGCTCCGCAATGCATGCCGCCTTCTTCCGAAGGTCCATTTTTACCAACATCATGTTATTCTGCAGCTCAGCCAGGGTGTGATCCTAAGGAAGATCAGTAAAGTCATAGAAATCATATCTGGTGTCTGAGAGAATAAGAAGGGCAAGATAATACATGCCATCCACTGCTAATATAACTGCAACTCTTTAATTTCAGAGCTGAATTGTTAATGTTTTGTCTTAGAGGATTTCAGGTCTGTGCATAAAATGGTTTCTTACAATCTAAGCATCTTGGATGAAATGTGATATTAACTACCTCCCTAGTATTGTTACAACAGAGAAAATGCCTATAAATCAGCACAGTGCCTTATACTTAAAATCTTGACCTTTCTCTTCTACTCCTCATTCCCCTTTTCACGTAACCCTGGTGTGGGCTGATGGGAGAGAAGGGGATATTTAGGCTGTCCTAACCTGTTTGATTAAGATGTCATCACATGTAGTCAAGGCTTGGCGAAGTTTTCCTGCCCCAGTGCTATGGCAACAGGCTCTTTCTGCTGACTGGAGAGATTCACCAAGTTTCTGAAGCTCTGTCCGTAGCAACCTTATATTCTGAAAAAGAAAGAGGAGTAATAAATTGTGGCCAAGTTCAACCAGGATAATGATCTGGAGGAGTCAGATAGCCATTTGAAGAGAAGTAAAATACAAGGCTGGTCAGCTGAATAAAGTAGCCAGCCTCCAGGACAGTGCATAGAAAACTTTTTATTCTTACATGAACCAGGGATATAGTATTGGACATCACCTTAAGTAAGTTTGTTTTTTTAAATCTCTCTGGCTTAGAGAGATTGATTTAAAAAGAAAACCTAAAAAACATTTTTATTGATTTCAGAGAGGAAGGGAGAGAGGGAGAAAGAAACATCAACGATGAGAATCATTGAATGGCTGCTTCTAGCACGTCCCACACTAGGGATCGAGCCCACACCCCGGACATGTGCCCTAACTGGTAATCGAACTGTGATCTCCTGGTTCATGCTCAACAACTGAGCCACGCTGGCTGGGCTTAGGTAAAAGTTTTGGTAACAGAGAAAGGTAATCACCTTCTGGCCCTCCTCTAACTTCTTGTCCACATCAGTGGTGAAGAGCTTGGCTGAGGGTGGTGGTTCTAACATTTTCTGATACTTCCGTAGCTCTGAGGGAAGAAACAAGAAACATTAATATGCAGGCTTTCTAACCTTGGACTTATCTCTAAGTTAACAATAGTTGCAGCAAATATAATAGAAAGGGAGCCTTTGTGTATCCTAGAGTGAAACGTCTGGGGTTGTAGCGCCAAAATAAGGAAATTATTGTTGGAGCTAGTGCCAGAAGGCCTAAGTTTGGAGAATAGCTCTACCTTGAGGCAGTGCCCTCTCCTTCCTCACCCTCAGTGGTCGAGTTGAGCTCTGCTTTGCACTGGTCCAGTTTGGCTGTAACCTCTTGGAGCTGCTGGGTGGAGTGAGAAGCAGCAGCCAGCCTTTGTGACCGCCTTACGGACAATTCAGACCCTGATTGTTGATGAGCTCTTGGCTGTTGTCTGGCTTCCTGCACTTGAGCTTCTAGCTCTTCAATCTTCTCATCCCGCTCCTAAGAGGGAAGGAGAAGGCACAATTCCATCCACAGTCAAACACTGCAGAAACAGATGACTGCATAATGAACCAAATCTTCCCTGATACATAAGCTTTTTGGTTAGCACATATACCGTTTTCTGGCCAACTAGACCTTTAATCAATTTGCCAAACAGATTGGCACATACAAAGCACTAAGGGTACTACAGAAAAGTGAGTTACATATTCCCACCCCTACCAGAGTTTATAAAATCTGTTAACCTTAAGCAAGTAGTGATGGGAATCTGATTAGCCAGTTGGGGCTAGTTCAGGCAACTCACCTGAAGCTCCTCTTGGTAAAAACTTGTCAGTGACTCCTTGAGGATCTTTAATTTCTCTTCATATGTTTCCTCTAATAGTTCCTTTTGGGTGTCCAAATGTTCACTGTCAGAGGAGAAAACAGAAGTGAGGGAAGATTCTGAGGAGTGAGCCTGGAGGACAGATTTTCCCCCTCCCTATGTGGGAGACTGTGCAGATTCTTTCCCCTTCCCCACATGGGAGTCTGAACTGGTTCTTCAATAAATTCCCCCAAAATTATAAAACTAAAATGAATTTAATATCCATGAAGTTAGTTTAACGTCCAGCTATGACCAATATGAAGAATTTTAAAGGATGAAGACAGATCTTGAGGCACAACTCCATTCTAGTCCCTATTCCCACCCTCTGATCCAGGTGTCAGACGAAGATAGATCACTCAGCTGATACCTGCACCACTGTTCACGCTGTTGCATCTGCTTCACCATCTCATTGCATATTTCATCACGGAGCTGCATCTCCAGCTGCAACTTTTCCTGCCGTTCTTTCAAAAGCAGTGCTTTCATGGCTTCCACCACCTGTAGGAGGTCCTAGAAGGGACACAGGTCAGAGGTAATCAGGCGGCCATGCTCCTAAAAGGTCCAGGCCCACCTGGAAGGCAGCATAGGAAATGTGCAGCCATCAAGCTGCTACAAAATTTTCTTGTATTCTCACCTCCTTGCTATACATGGAGATATCAGCTTCACTTTCAATGTCATCATCAAGGCCTGGGTCTGTCTTAGTTCCTATCTCTAAGCTGGAGGATGCCTGCAGACTGTGTTGCTTGATGAATGAATGTAGCGATGGGAGCCCCAGTTGTACAGGTGGAGCATGCACAAGCTAGCAGGGGGAAAATATCTCAATTGAATCCAGGACTAGTCCTTAGTAGCTTTCTTAAAAGAAGGTACCATTCCAAAGGTACCAACTTCTCACCTGGCTGGCAATGGCTGAGAACTTGGCCACGTGAAGGGTCTCATCATAAGTAGATGCACAGGGATTCACATTGACAATCATGCAGGAGCGGCCTCGGCCTGTGAAGAAGCCTTGAAATACTCGAGTCAACTTGCTGTCGCGGAAGGGAATCAGGTTCTGCTTTGACCTGGCAGGGAATCAGAAGAGTAGAGCTGTGAGCAGAACTCTAGCTCTT